CATGTTTTGCTTTGCAATGCAATGCCTAGAGGAAGGCAGCTGACTGAATTAGTTTCTGGCTAGATGGACATGTGTCCGAAAAGCAAACTTAAACCTGACATGTGTCACATGTCATATGCCCGGCCATTGTCAGATCACTGCAGCAGGTTCATGGGAAACATGCTCTCATCATCGTCAGAGCTTTGGACTTGTGAATCATCAACCAATGTGGCAGGGATGCTCTCGCAATGACAAGTGGTTGTCTTGACATGGTGTGTCTCATCAGAATCGGCCTCAGTTACAAATGCGTTCAGGCGCCTAAGCTTTGGTCGAGGTTCAGTGTGAGGCTCCTGCGTGCAATCAATGACACCGGACCTTGCCATGCTCGCTAACATCTTGTCGTTGGCAGGTGCAGAAGCTGCATTGTCGAAAGGCTGCTGGAACTTTGGTGTTGGACAGGCCCCCAACACTGCATCAATGTCAGCTGCAAGCTGTCTCGCATGAGGGCAGGCCTGGAGTGAGCGAGTTTGCTGAATTATTTGTTGATCCCTTTCAGTGTTACCCACCTACCTCAGTCAGTGACAAAGCACATTGAATTGATGGGGTTCAGACAGAACTCTCAACGAGCACAAAAATTCATTTGCTTGTCTCACACCCAGGGTCTGATGCCCAGAGCGACTGCTGGCGCTGTCTCAGGGCTGGCACACTGTACCTCTCAATGTTCCTGACACGCTTTCTGCAGGCCATCACAGTTGGCTGCTGGCAGGATGCGGCAGAGCCAGAACAGAGCCAGAACAGCTATTATTGGCTCTGTCAATGAATGACTGACTGCAAGCCCTAGGGTAATTTCTGTGCTGTGCAGAAACATGACCAACCAACACCAAACCAAGCCCCCAAGTCATGTGTCCCAAAGACATCATGTCATGTGACAACCCAGGTGAGGATGCTGCTGACTGTCAGGCCTTCCGAGCAACCAGCCTGTTGCCCCACGATAGGCAAGGATGACCATGACAACCTGCACAGAGAGTAAAGTAAAGACAGACTGCAAAGGAAAGGCTCATAATCTACTGGAGTTACCTCTAAACTCGCCAAACCTGATTCATCTGCAAACCATTTCTGACCAATCCCTTTTTAAGGGCATGGCTTGGCTTGTGCGACTGTGTCATGTGGCAATTGTCATTTGTTGGAAGTTTTTTTTGCAGAACATACACTACGAAGGCTGGAAAAGAGGAAGCAGGGAAGCTAGCAATGACCAGCGACAGGTTTCTCAAAAGTCTCGGTCTGGCATGTGACACACATGAACTGCACAAAATGGCCCAATGTTTGGTGACAATGTGCCCAAACAACTTGCTGGTAGAATCTGTCCATATTGTAAGCCAACAAAGGTCAATGCACACATCAAGGCCCTAAGGGCAAGGGCCACCTGAAAGCCTCAAGCCCCACAAGACTGGCCCCCCGCCTTGTGGAAGTCAAGTCACTCAAGCCCGCTCAAGACAAGTTCGACTCATGCCACATACCCTGTCACATGCAACATGATATGACATGTCAACTGAAAACTGAACACATTTCAACACCTCACACCTCCCAAGCGACATTTGCCCGAGTGGGCAGCTCAGGCTACCACATGAAAGTCCATCCTAAAGCCAGGCAAGTGCGATTTGCAAACGAGCTGACAAGAGAAACCGCCAGCAAAGTGACAAACAACTGGGCAGGCACCTCAATGACTAGTGTTCAACATCCACATGCATCAAGACTGCAACTGACAAGCCAATTTACTACTCCTACATACTGAAGTTTATGCGGCTTGCCTGGAAGCGGATTATGTACTTGCAGCAATTGCAAACAAGTGTTTAAGATCTGAGACATCCCAAAGCCAAAGCCAAATGGTTAAGCAAGAACTTTGATGCACTCTTCACAGAAACCAAGTGTTGTTTGCTTGTAAGCCACGCCACCTTGTAGGTAAACCCCTTGCACCCTTGTGTTACTCATATTTGGGTCAGACAATTCAAGGAAGTGCCTTGTAAGTCACACAAGCCTCAGGACAAACATTCAACGCTGGCAAACAAAGCTGCCTCAGCGCATTTACATACTGGAACATGAGCGTGGAGCAGGACTGTAGTTATTAGTTCACATTAGGACCCCCCAATGCAAGCAATGCCTCCAGCAAGGTGAGCTATGACCACACAAAACAAAGCTGAGCAGGCAGTGTATTATATTCCTGCAAGTTGGTAATGACAACTCAGAGCAGCTGCTTACAAGAAGTGGCGTAGCAACATCGAGCTGTTGGCCCTGCAAAGCCTTTCCCATGTGCAGCACACATGACATGAAGTATCTGTAGCAAGTAGCCATATGACATTGTCACTGCATCGCTGCTGCTGCTGAGTCTTGCACCTCACTTAGCCAGACCTGGCGAGCAGTTTGCAAAGTAGAAAAGGGTCCTTGCAGAACAAACAATCGATCAACATAGGATGCCCCCAAACAGACTCACCGCCACCAAGATCGCATTGATCCAAGGTTCATGTGACACATGAAATGTGTTGGCACTAGTAGTCAGTTGTTTTTTTCGCACCAAGCCAAAAGTCCCTTTCTGTCACCCAAGGGCACTTCCAAAAACACACAGTCACATGTCTTGCGACTCTACTCAATTGCTGCTACTGTCAGCAGATGCAGGCGCAGGGCGAGACAGCTCTGGCTCTGCCGGGATCATGAAGAAGCCACTCTGCTTAAATGAGATCGTGCCATCGCTGCCTGTCATGTCTAAAACGGTGAAGCAAGACATGTCAATGTCGCAAAATTGAATTGAGCAGGCACTTGTTTCCCAAACTGGAATGCTCAACATTGATGACTTAACATAACCATCAGTGGCAAGCATCCTAGCAAAGTGAAAGTAGCTACTACCCTGCAAGGCACTGATGACCCACACATCATCCGAATCGCCAACGCTCGGGACAATGTGGTAGAACCGTCCACACACTGGAGCAACAACATCAAAGACCGCGTCCTGGCAACAATTGTCCATACTCACTGACTATTACTGGCAACACAAGCCGCCAGCCCAAACAGCATGTTGCTGAGACACAAGTCATGGCATCATAAGGCAAGAGCCAGAATGGTTACCTGGCCTACTAAGACAATCTCCAGCAGAAAACTGCTCCTGACGGTTCAAGGCGTCGACCAGCTGCTGGCCATCGAGGTCAGGATTCTGCTGCGACATCTTGAGCAAGTGGGTTGCCATAAACTTCTTTGTTTCATCCCACAAGTGCCTAAGTGTGGTCTGCTATTCAACAGCACATGCACAAGGAGCAGTTACAAGAAGCTGACACAAATTTGTAGAAACATTCAGCTGTGTGGCGAGAGTGTCACATTTTGCGGGATCTCGTCCATGGGAACTTTGATGCCGCCATCCATGCTTAGTTCACAACATGTTTGGTCTGATGTTTCTAAGATCGCCAGCAACACAAACCCACATTGAATCATGTGTGAGCCTTGTGGGAAACAGCTAGCTTGTTTTACAGAACACACTTCAACCAACATTGATGCCACATGATGCAATCAACCTGCATTTTTTGCATCATGATTCATGATCACACTGTGCAGCCCCAAACAAATAAAGCAAGGCGCTGCACTGCGCCGCGAGGGAACTGCTCATTGGCAGAAAAATGCCTTGTCACAAATGCCAGCCTTGGCCACTGTGGACGTCGCAGAAGCATTCTCTACTTGATCCCAAGAAAACAAGTAGCAGCTGGAACATTTGACATTATAATGAGGGGCCTACACAAACAGAAAACAAACTAAGGAGTGCACTTGTCCATGTGCTGCATGATGCTGCCATGTGCAGACTCAAGCTGGGCCTTCAGCAAGGACTCCATGTACGCCGCCGAATCACTAAATGCATCACCGCCCTCACCAAGCACTGCAAATGCACTCAGCCTTGCATGCTCACCAAGAGCACTTGCATCAGCAAACACAGGCCAGACACCAGGGCAAAGTGGCTGACTGGGCATCACTGCAAGTGCAACTTCCAAACACAAGCGAAACAGCACAACCAGTGGCAGAGCCCCAAAGCTGCAGCAATCACACAAAGGCAGTGCATGTGTTCGTGTGTCACATGACATCAAGTGCCAGGCATTCCCTGTTTTGCCTTAAACAGGCCAGAGATGCCTGCCTCTTCTGTGCAGAGCACATTCTGAATATTGCGCGAGCCAAGAAGCGGGCAATGCTAGGCAGGTCTAGCCACAAACAAAGGCCCGGCCGATCAAAGCTATTGGGATTTTAAGGGCGCAGCCCGCTTGAGGACAAGTGCCAGCCAATGCAAGGAATCAAACAAAATCCCAGGGCCAAACAACGCAAATCCTGCTAGTTGCTGATAGTGTTGTTTGCTGCCCATTTTATGTGACAGCACATGTCTCCAAGCAATGCTTCACTCAGGTTCACAGCTCAGTTCCACTTCTGTGCGTTCTGTAATCCCCTACCTGGGCCTGTTCCTCTGTCTTCATTTCCCTACAAAAACACATATTCCAAACTCCCCTCCCCCCACTATTCTACACTTTGCTTTCCACATCTATATTGCGCCCCCCACATCTCCTCACTTATTCAATTGGTTTTCTATCTTGTCCAATGTTTTTCTCACTTTATCCCACTTTATCCCACTTTATCCCACTTTATCCCACTTTATCCCACTTTAACCCACTTTAACCCACTTTAACCCACTTTAACCCACTTTATCCCACAATTGCACATTTTATCCCATAATTTCACATTTTTTCACATAAAACATGTAGGCCCAAAACCTCACTGATCTAAACCCTCAAGGATCCAACCTCAATAGCGAGGTTAGTGAGGAAAGGAGGCCGCAAAGAAGGCAGAGCGCTCGCAGCGAACGTACACTTGCCCGCACTGCAGCGCCGACGTGGAGTCAGGCGTCTGGAGCGGCACGGTTAACTCGCAACGGCATTGCGGGCGCCGCTTCCAAGTTCGCGAGGGACAGGTTGTGCGCCGAGAAGATGGCGCGAGGTACGAGCATGCGTGTCCGACCTGCGGAGCGACAGTGCAGTCGAGCACGAGGCAAGGCCGGATCCGGGTCCAGCACGAAGAGCCAAACAGCAAACGCTTTTGCCAGACCAAGGACTGGCGCACGAAATGACGTGTGCGGAAATCTGGCAGCGCAGCGCAAAAATCTTGCGCATCGGTCCTGCGTGCCTGCTCGCAAGAACAGCTTCGCGTACAGCGCGCTAAGAGGCCGCGCTCGTTTTGCCACAGCGAGCGCCAGGCAAAGGAGTGCGCCGGCAGCAGAAAGGAAACGGAGGATCGTACATGCAGTAAAGCTATGTGTCCAGAGAGAGCGGCCAGCTACAAAAGCTTCGCTTCCCGCGCTGTTCCAGGCCGCACTCGTTTGTCCACAGCGAGCACCAACCAAAGGAGTGCGCCGGCAGCAGAAAGGAAGAAAAGAGGCCGAACGGGCGGGCCCGCACTCGTTTGCCCACAGAAAGGAAGAAAAAAGGCCGGACGGGCGGGCCGTGACAGAGCTTCAGCGCTGAAAACTGTGCCCTGCAGGTGCTGGAGCGCTTTTCCAGGCCGCACTCGTTTGCCCACAGCAAGCGCCAACCAAAGGAGTGCGCCGGCAGCAGATAGGAAGAAAAAAGGCCGAACGGGCGGGCCCGCGCTCGTTTGCCCACAGCGAGCACCAACCAAAGGAGTGCGCCGGCAGCAGATAGGAAGAAAACAGGCCGAACGGGCTGGCCGTGGCAGAGCTTCAGCGCGGAAAGCTGTGCAGTAGAAAGCTATCGGTCCCAGGGCGCAACCAGCAAGAACAGCTTCGTGTCCAGCGCTCTGGGAGGCCGCACTTGCTTCGCTGCAGCGAGCGCGAACCAAAGGAGTGCGCCGGCAGCCTGCTCCGCCGCGGCCGGGTGCCTAACGTCACGTTTGAGTCCAATATGCAGCAAGGCTATCGGTCCAGAGGGAGCGGCCAGCCACAAAAGCTTCGCTTCCCGCGCTTTTCCAGGCCGCGCTCGTTTGTCCACAGCGAGCACCAACCAAAGGAGTGCGCCGGCAGCAGAAAGAAAGAAAAGAGGCCGAACGGGCGGGCCCGCACTTGTTTGCGCACAGCGAGCACGAACCAAAGGAGTGTGCCGGCAGCAGAAAGGAAGAAAAAAGGCCGGACGGGCGGGCCGTGACAGAGCTTCAGCGCTGAAAACTTTGCCCTGCAGGTGCTTCAGCGCTTTTCCAGGCCGCACTCGTTTGCCCACAGCGAGCACCAACCAAAGGAGTGCGCCGGCAGCAGATAGGAAGAAAACAGGCCGAACGGGCTGGCCGTGACAGAGCTTCAGCGCTGAAAGCTGTGCCCAGGTAGTTGAGCACTCTCGGCATGCGAGCCCGGCCTGTCTGTGCGCCTGCGTCTGTCACAGTTTGCCTATCCCTGGTCTCTCTCCCTTTGGGTTTGCTGTGCGTCTTGCCAAGGGCGGCTGCTCCGCCGCGGCCGGGTGCGCGCTTGGAGGCCGCACTCGCTTCGCCGCAGCGAGCACGAACCAAAGGAGTGCGCCGGCAGCCTGCTCCGCCGCGGCCGGCTGCCTAACGTCGCGTTTGAGTCCAATATGCAGTAAGGCTATCGGTCCAGAGGGAGCGGCCAGCCACAAAAGCTTCGCTTCCCGCGCTTTTCCAGGCCGCGCTCTTTTGTCCACAGCGAGCACCAACCAAAGGAGTGCGCCGGCAGCAGAAAGGAAAAGGAAAGAAACCAAAGGAGTGCGCCGGCAGCAGAAAGGAAGAAAAGAGGCCGAACGGGCGGGTCCGCACTCGTTTGCCCACAGCGAGCACCAACCAAAGGAGTGCGCCGGCAGCAGAAAGGAAGAAAAAAGGCCGGACGGGCGGGCCGTGACAGAGCTTCAGCGCTGAAAACTGTGCCCTGCAGGTGCTTGAGCGCTTTTCCAGGTCGCACTCGTTTGCCCACAGCGAGCACCAACCAAAGGAGCGCGCTGGCAGTAGATAGGAAGAAAACAGGCCGAACGGGCTGGCCGTGACAGAGCTTCAGCGCTGAAAGCTGTGCCCAGCAGGTAGTTGAGCACTCAGCCCAGGGGCAGTTGGTGTAGTGGCATGCCCATGTGCGCCTGCGTCTGTCCTGGTCTTTCTCCCTTTGGGTTTGCTGTGCGTCTTGCCAAGGGCGGCTGCTCCGCCGCGGCCGGGTGCCGAACGTCACTTTTGAATCTTATATAGAAAATAGAAAGCTATCGGTCCCCAGGGCGCAACCAGCAAGAACAGCTTCGCGTCCAGCGCGCTTGGAGGCCGCACTCGCTTCGCCACAGCGAGCCTGAACCAAAGGAGTGCGCCGGCAGCCTGCTCCGCCGCGGCCGGGTGCCTAACGTCGCGTTGTCCACAGCGAGCACCAACCAAAGGAGTGCGCCGGCAGAAAGGAAAAGGAAAGAAACCAAAGGAGTGCGCCGGCGGCAGAAAGGAAGAAAAGAGGCCGAACGGGCGGGCCCGCACTCGTTTGCCCACAGCGAGCACCAACCAAAGGAGGGCGCCGGCAGCAGAAAGGAAGAAAAAAGGCCGCACTGGCGGGCCGTGACAGAGCTTCAGCGCTGAAAACTGTGCCCTGCAGGTGCTTAAGCGCTTTTCCAGGCCGCACTCGTTTGCCCACAGCGAGCGCCAACCAAAGGAGTGCGCCGGCAGCAGATAGGAAGAAAAAAGGCCGGACGGGCGAGCCGTGACAGAGCTTCAGCGCTGAAAACTGTGCCCTGCAGGTGCTTAAGCGCTTTTCCAGGCCGCACTCGTTTGCCCACAGCGAGCACCAACCAAAGGAGTGCGCCGGCAGCAGATAGGAAGAAAACAGGCCGAACGGGCTGGCCGTGACAGAGCTTCAGCGCTGAAAGCTGTGCCCAGCAGGGAGTTGAGCACTCTCGGCCTCCTCAGCTCAGCGGCAGTTGGTGTAGTGGCATGACACCCGCTCAGCATGCGAGAGGGGCTGGGTTCAATCCCCGGCCTGTCCATGCCCATGTGCGCCTGCGTCTGTCCTGGTCTTTCTCTCTTTGGGTTTGCTGTGCGTCTTGCCAAGGGCGGCTGCTCCGCCGCGGCCGGGTGCCGAACGTCACTTTTGAATCCTATATAGAAAGTAGAAAGCTATCGGTCCCCAGGGCGCAACCAGCAAGAACAGCTTCGCGTCCAGCACGCTTGGAGGCCGCACTCGCTTCGCCGCAGCGAGCACGAACCAAAGGAGTGCGCCCGGCAGCCTGCTCCGCCGCGGCCGGGTGCCTAACGTCGCGTTTGAGTCCAATATGCAGTAAGGCTATCGGTCCAGAGGGAGCGGCCAGCCACAAAAGCTTCGCTTCCCGCGCTTCCAGGCCGCACTCGTTTGTCCACAGCGAGCACCAACCAAAGGAGTGCGCCGGCAGCAGAAAGGAAAAGGAAAGAAAAGAAACGAAGAAGAACAAGAAAAAAGGGAAAGAAAGAAGGCTGGTAAGGTACAGGGCTGAACGGGCGAGGGCGAAAGGGAAGGGAGAAGGCTGCCACAGTCACGCTCCAACGCTAAACGAACACTCCCCCAGCGCCTTCCCCTTGCAGGCAGGCGGGTCGGCGGATCTCACTGCCTGTTCTGTTCGTGTTCTCTCCTGAGGCGGTGCTGGGCCCGCTGCAGGCGGCCGCCGGGGCGGGGCTCAGCTCCGGGCCGCCGCCGGAGCTGGCGGCGCGCACCTGCGAGGCCGTTGTGCGCGTGCTGCGCCTCCTCGCCCGCTCGGCCGCCCGGAAAAAGAGAAAGAGAAGAAAAGGAGCCCAAAAACCCGGAAGAACCAGAGAAAACATGTTTACAGATACAATCAATTCAATTAGGGAGAAAGAACACGGCGATCGGAACGAGGATCTGGTGTGGCCTTCAAAGATCCTGTGCAATGCCTGCAGCTTCCTGGCGCTGGCCAGCATGTTGCGCGCCTTCCAAAGTGCCGTCGACGTGAACGACGTGAACTCGGATGGCTCGCACGGCAAGTCGATCTTCTTGGCCCCAGGGCAGGTGGTGGCGATCTGCGGGCTGCGGTCGCTGCGCGGCGCGGAGCTCAACGGCGCCCGCGCCCAGGTCCGAGCCTTCCACGCGGACTCCGGCCGCTACATCGCGCCTCGGGCGAGCGCGCAGAGAGAGAGGGAGTTACCGGAGTTCAGAAAGGAAAATCAACTGGAGAAAGGGGGATAAGGGAAAGAGGAAGGGGTGAAGAAGCGCGATTCGGCGAGGCTCCGTCGAGACTGGAAAAGGCAAGACACATGGAATAATTCAATTAAAAACTGGGACATATTCCTTGACCCGCCTTGACCATCACCACGAAGCATTTGTCCGAAGCTCAGGTGCTCGATCTTGAGCCCACACTAACCCGCACCCAAAACAACCCAAAGCCTGCCAACACCGGTTCAATCTGAATCCGAAGTCAATGTCAAGTCCATCCAAGCCTAAGCCCAACAATCTCACTGAAATCATCCCTGAGCCCTACGCCACTCCAAACAAAAAGCAACCCTGATCCTACAGCAAGCTAGTTTGAACCCATTCAACTTGACTCCACCATGACCCGAGCTTATCATCCTCCAAATGGTCACACTCCATAGCCGTCCTAAGTCAACGGCTCAACAGACGAACTCCCAACTCCCCACCTCAGCCCCGGAAGCCAAGCCCCCGAAACCGCCGGGCCAATCGCCGTTGGGAACCCAACGCCAATCACACACGAACCCAACAGCACGAACCGTACCAATGGCCCCAACCCGCCTCAAGAGGGCAATGATCAGTTCAGCCCTTTTGCGGCCAATTTGTTGACGCGCTTTTGCGGTTTCTTTCCGCCCCTGGGGCAGATGCCTGGAACCTCAAGCCGATGTTACTTGCGGCTTTCAGCCTCGAAGCTTTTGCAAGGTGCTGTCTGACTCGTCTGACCCGTCTGACAGTTTGTACGGTTCCAGTTTGCAGGAAGCTGATTTTCAGCCGGAAACACACGTCCAGCATGCGCATTTGACAGTTAACGGAAGGATGGAGCGTTGTAGTGACGTTGAGTGCAAAGCAGAGAGAAGCGATGAAGAGATGGTGCGAACGTAAGGATATTGCGAGAGACTTCTGACACGCAAGCCATAGCACTCGTGCTTAGTTTGCTGTTGCAAACAAGCAAGAACAGTGACATTTCCAAGATTCCAAGGTGAGTCTCAATGAGGAAGATCCTCCAAGTGAATGGAAGAAGCTACGAGTGGAGAATCTCAAAGCAGATTCCGACACTTCAAATGCCTCACTGGCTTTGGCAGGTGCAAGAGAATGTGGGAAGCCTGGAATGCACTTGGCAGACTTTCGACTCCTCTTTTTCTTTCCATTCTGAAGATTCTGTCGTGGAGCAAACACAGGAGAGCATGCTTGGAAGCCGTGGCCGAGATTTTCGACGACCTTCTCTTCATGATGCACCAGGAGGAGAGCGACGAGATGTGCCTGGCACTTCTACACGCGCAGCTGGCCTCCACCATGTGGGAAGCCTTGGTCTGCTGTGCTGCCGGGGAACCCAGGTCGAAAGTCGAAAGTCGAAAGTCGAAAGATTTCTCGAAAGATTTGTCGACGCCCTCAGAGCCTCAGGGTCCGGCATCCTTGCCAGCGTCTGCAGTGCTGCCGGCTCAGCTGCTTCGAGCTTTGAGAGCTTTAGCCGCACCCCGTGATGCAGAACTCAACGGGGTTCAAATTGGTCGTCTGTGGCCACATAGGTGAAGTGAAGGTTTTTGCTGTGTTGAGGTGTTCGATGCTGAACATCCTTCCTCCATCCATGATACAGATCAGGAGTTGTTGTTCGAAGAAAGCAAAGAGGGGGATACTTTTTTTTTTGAGAGAGACTTTGAGAGGTGAACACCGAGCGCTAGGCTCGACCTCTCGGGCGACATCATGATCTCTTCCCTTTTCGCCCGGCACGTCTTCTCAGCCGCTTGGCCGTGGCTTGGCTGTGGCTTGGCCTTGGCTTTGGCTCGCGCCCTTGCGAGCCGCTCAGGTCCACCTCACTGCGCACGCTGCGCAGGCTGCGCACGCCGCCCCGCCGCTCGACAGTTTGGGCCAAACCAAGCAAAGTCTGTTTGGGAAGCCAACCTCGTCTCGCTTCGGACCGCTCTCAGGCAAGATCAGGCGGCCACGGTGAGGCGGTTACTGACTTTGCAGGCGCATTGGATGGAAGCAACCGAACGACATCGGATCGGACGGATGGCATTTGCAAGGAGAGCTTTGCAGAAGCTTACTGCCGGCTCTATCAGCCTTCGCCTCGCCTCATGCAGTGCAGCTTTTGCCCTGACGGCCTGAGGCCTGACGCGCACTGGGGACCCAGAGAGACAGACGAGAGCATCCACGACTTGCAGGCATGGAGTGGGCAAACCATTTGCCCAAAGAGTCAAAAAATCCAATTTGACAGCTTTCGCCAGGAGAGCCTGGATGCTCACATCTTGCGGGTGGCAAGTGCAGCAGTTCAGTGAGCTCAGAGCACAGGATCCGCCCACGGGCAAGCCAAGCGGATCCGAGGATGGGGGTGCTTCCGCAACTCATCGACTGCTGCGACTTCCACCTCGCCTGGGGCTCGTCGCATTTCGCTGTCGCCATGTCGCGCATGTCGCGCACGCGAGGCAATCTCGCCTCAGCCGAGCGCCACGCTTCCAGTTCTGCTGTCTCGTCTGGCCTGGGGCCGGGCTTTCCAGTGCGGTACACGCATGCGGTGCGCATGCGGCCCGGTGTTGGTCTGAGGTCTGCATTTTTGCGAGCCGCGATGCGATGCTCCAGCGCCACATCATCCTGCTGACCCCGGCCCGGCGCCCCGGCGCCCCGGCGCCCCGGCATGGGGCATGGGGCACGTGGGGCCGCGCAGGCCATCCTGGCTGTGGCGGAGTCCTTTGTGGAGGCGCAAGGGAGCCGAGACGTCCGGAACGTGCGACGTGCGACGTGCGGCCGAGGCCGGAGAGGCCGGGGCCCGGCATGGCCTGTCGCAGGTGTGGGCGCCTCGGGAGAGCCGAGACTCCGAGAGCTCAAAAGCCGAGAGAGCCGAGAGACTTGCAGAGGCTAGATGGCGTCATTGCAGTGAGCCAGCTCAGCGAGTGCAGCGGGCTGGCTGCCCAGAGTCTCCCATCGATTTCGAACGTGCACATTGGCGTTCACATGAAGCGTGCATTGTGTCAAGTGTTTCTCATTCTCGTTCCCCAGTGAGTGCATGAGGTCAGTGGAGGCGGGCGGCTTTTGCTTGGGTAAAAAGTGAACGACTTCCATGAGTGGTTCAGACGGACAGGCGCTGACTGCCCGTTCGCTTCAGAGCGAAGTGCGACATGACCCCGCAGTGCCGCATGGCCGAGAACAGCTCACTTTCCGATCCCACGCGTTGAGTGAGCTCCAGGCTGTCTCGCCTTGCTCTAGCCCATCCGGACAAGCCCTGAGGGTTGCGAGTTCGGCCACGTATGTCCCATGACCGTGTTCAGTATGTTCAGTTCGGCAAGCCGAGGGCAGCCCGTGGGTGCACACCTTTGCAAGCTTCTCTGGGAAGGACAAGGCGGCCGGATGCCAAATGCCGCTAGAGCCCAACGGCTTCTTCCGCTTTGCAGGCGGTGTTCTGGCAGCATGCACAAGCGCTTGTGCCCTGGAAATGGGGCGTGTGCCTTTGATCTCGATGTGGCCCAGGCGAAGCTGCTTGCTGCGCCACGGCGAGGAGGTGCTGAGCCTCCTGCAGGACCTCTGCCACGCCTTGCCACGCCTTGCCACGCCCTGCGCCACTGGGAAGCAAGGAGCTGTGTGGAGAGACTCCCGAGCCGTCGTCACCCATAGATGTGCCGCACGCTCAGTGCCATGCCGTGTGCGACTCAGCTTCAGCTTCGCCAGGTCTGACGCTTTGCCGCCAAATCAGCACAGCCGTTGCCTCGCTTCGCATGGCCTCGGCTTCGTCGCCTCTTTCAGCTCTTCCGGCTAGAGGTTTTGACGATGGGCAGATTGTGGAGGTGATCGCCAGCGTTGAGGCATGCGGCACTCGACGTGTCGCACGCATCCGCGTTGTCACTGTCCGGATTGTTACGGATTGTTACGGATCGTTGTTCCGCGCAGGAGGCTTGCCTGGCGCGGGGCGAGGCGCCTGAGGCGCCGGCGCCGCCGAGCCTCAGCGCGCTGGACCTGCCACGACCCCGGGAGACAGGCGTTACGCCGGGCTCGCATCTGTTCGCTTCGGAGGCCTCGCAAGAAGGATCGGATCGCGAAGGCATGCCTCGGGATGGGATTCCTGTCACTTGGGTCACTTGCCCAGCGCCTGGGCCGCAGCGACCTCGCGCGGCTGCGCGGCGTGGCTCGGTCCTCAGCGACGGCCCGATGGGCGGAACTGCAGGTTGCGCAGAGCAACCTATGAGCACATTTGCTCAGTGCTCCCCGGTTGAATGTGCAGCGGGAACCGATCTTTGAACCGGTTCTTCAGAATCTCCGGTGTTGGGCTAGCCGTGCTAGCCATGCTAGCCATGCTAGCCATGCTGGCCATGATGGCCATGCTAGCCACGATCCGTGCCTGAGGACCTTGCCGCAGCACCTGAGGAGAGTTTTCTGCGTCGTATGTATGGATATGAATCGCACTAGGACTTGCGCTGCGCCATCGACGGGAAGGTTTTGGGCGCTCGAAGCCCACGAGTGTCGACCGGGTGTCGACCGGGTATCGACCGGGTGTCGACCAGATCGACCGGACGGAGTTCCTGGCCCGGAGCTCCAGATGTCGTCGCTTCGGTTCTGAGGCCCCGGTTCAGTCGCCCTACGGCCACATCTTCGAGCAAGACACGCCCGGGCCAAAGCTTTCAAAAGAGTCGATTTTAAGCGTGTGAGCTGGCACTTGGAAGGTTGCGGCAATGGCTCGCGACCTGTGGCAGTGTGTGCCCCATCACCGGACAGCCGTTGCGAGAAGAGGACCTCAAAGGGCTAGCAAGCCATGCAAGCTGTGTATGCATCAACCTGACCACGCAGGGACAAGCGCATCAGGCGTGCAACCTTTTTGGGGGAAAAAAGAACAACCGAGCGACCGGTGTCCTTTGCAGTGCTCGTGCTTTGTAGGACTGTATGGCAGACACAGCGACGCAGCAGAAGGCTTGGCTTTCCCAAGCCAGTTGAGCAGAAGGCTCGTTCCAAGTTCTGCAGGTTTTAGAATGGGTGAAGGCAACCCGAGCATCGCACAAGGAGAGATGGAGCCAATGGGAGCCATGCCAAGTGCCAAGCCAAGTGCCACGCAGAACACTTTGCCAGGAGCGCCGAAGGCCGCAGCCACCTTACGAGCCATGACCGAATTGGAATTGATCGAATTCAGCGCAAAGTGCGAAAGGCTGGTACAGCATGCCGTGCATGAACGCTCTCTTGTCGCAGTGTCAGGTCTTACACGGGTTGCCAAAGCAGAGCAGACTGAGCAAAGTCAGCCGTACAGCTTACCAAAAGCACTCTGGAGGCATTTCAAGCCAACAGACATGCAGCACATCATTGTTTCCCTTTGTTTCCTTTTAATTTCTTTCAGGGCGCCATGAGTGTGAGCGCACTATGCGCATTTTAGTGTTCCAGACGCCGAAGCTGACCTATGTCCAGGCGCTTGAGTTCTTGCTGCGGGAGACGCAGGAGCGCCCGGCGGATTTGGCTCTTCTGCCAGAGTTTGCCCTGGAGCATCCTGCGCAATGCACGCACCAAGGGGAGCTCTCCTACGACAACGTGGCGATCATGATGCTGTCACGGCTGGCGCGGCAGCGGCAGTTGTACCTGGTTCTGGGGGTGCGCGACTCTGACTCTGTCGACATTTGTCTGGTCTTCAACCGGCAAGGGGACATGACGCTGCACAAGGCCGGAGCCACTTCCGGAGCCGGCCATTCGAATCCCGGCCATTCCGGAGCCGGTTCCGTGAACGCCGAGGTCTCCGAGTGTCCGAGCTTCCAAACGGAGTGGGGCACCGTGGCGCTGCTGGGGGACGTCACCGGGAGCTGGGCGCCGCTGCTGGCGCTGGCGCCCGTGTTGATCCTCAACCCCTGCAACGCCCCCATGGAGCTGGACATGGCTTTGGCCAAGGCCCACCCGGAGCTTCCATGGATGCAAATCAGTCTCCAAGTATCCAATAAATACGTTTGTATAATAACTATGATATATAGTTGTACGCAAAGCATCTTGACATGCCATTCATCGCGCTCCCAGGTTGCAGGTTGCTGCGTGGCACAAAGGCTTCAGGCGCACCGAGAGGCTAGTCCAGTCGCGGCTTCGCGACACCAGGAGATGGGATTGAATGATTGAACCTTTTTTGGTTCATTTCTTGACATCGGCTCAAGCATCAGTGAGCGCGTTTTGACTCGACTCGGCTCGACTCGGCTCGACTCGGCTTGACTCGAGGACAGTGTTCGTCCGTGCGGACGCCCCACTGCGGCAGGGTGGCGCGGGTATCTCCATGCTGGTGGAGGCGCACCGCAGCGCGCTGGCGCCCAGCTGGGGCCCCACCTTCCTCCACCTGGAAATGGAAGACACCAAGGACCGCTCGCTCGTACCGCTTGTTTCCTCGTTGCCTCCTTGCCTCGCCCCACTTCACATGTTTCGAAATTGCGCGTGAGGACAGCCGCAAGCTGCCAAAGTGGCGCTCGCTTACCATTGACGAGATTCTTTCAGCCTCTTATGGCAGAGATCTGAATGATGCCGTGGAGATTGGCCCACGCTATCATTTGTGGACCTTCAGGCCGCCAAGTCTTGCCAAGGCTGCTATGACGCAGACAGCTGATTGGAGCAGTCTTTGGGAGCAGCCTGAGGCAGACACAGACATCCTAAGCTTGATGGGCCGACAGGCGAGTTGTTTTTTGATGCCACTCGGTCGTTTTTACGTGGTGGCAGAGCGCAGCGGCCAAGTCACACTCTGGGACCTGCGACAGCGCCGGGAATGCCAGACCTTCTCCGTGGATGGGGCTGTGGGCTTCGGTTTCGGACTTGACTCGAGTCGAAGTCGAAGCGGTCGTGCGCACGTGCAACACGTGCAGCACGCGTGACGTGTCTGGGCCCAGGGCCCCTGCACGAACCAATTCGCCGTGGCCACCAGCTCAGCCGAGGGCGTGGTGCTGCGGCTCTTCGAGAGGAAGCTGCTGCGGGACTTCGCACTGCCCTTGGAGGATTTGCCCTGGCAGCAGTGGAAGCCCTTTCCGGCGAACGAAGGCGCCGAAGGCGCCGACCAAGGCGCCGACGGCGCCCCGGAAAGAGTCCGAGAAAAAGTCCGAGACGTCCGCATCAGCGCGATCTTTTGGGTGAGCTCCTCCCTGGTGGTGGCCATTGCCGAGAGCGAGAACCTCCCCGAGGTGGTTCTGCGCCTGGACTTGGAGGCATCGGAGGTGGAGGTCCTGGACATCTACCTCAACGGTCCTCCGCCCGCCTCCTTCTGGGAGGAGTCTCAAGACACCCTGTCAGATGAGCCGTCGCCCAGTGCGTCGACCGCCTCGGAACTCTCACAGGTCTCCGACCAGCTTGTGATGGTCATGGCCTTCGAGAGAGTGAAGTTCCCTGAAACACGCAGCCCGCAGTCGGGCCTGGTGTGCTTGTGGAGGAGTGACCGCCTCTGCATATTGACTTTCTCAGACTGGAAGGTTCATGATCAGGTGTTGGTCGATGATACCGGCGCGCCGAAGGACAAAGAAGATATGCCTTTGTGCGCAACGATTCTGCCGGGAGATGGTGCCTGCAGCGTTGTGGCATCATATGCCTCCATGATCATTCGATGGTGGCGGGTGTCACTGACTTCGTGCTTCCAGCAGGCATGCGTCGTGCTGAGCTCCCCAGTGACTCAGCTTAGTTTGCTCCAGTGTGGAGAGGAAGCCCGAGAGCGAGAGCGAGCTCGGCTCTCGTGGATGTCAAGCAGCCACAGGCTGTCCCTGAAGGAGTCCAAAGAGAGGACAGAGACAGCTCCACACGAGACACCAGCGAAGGCCACAAGCCTTCCAGAGTTTCAACTCTGGATGGTTTGGCCGAGAGCTCTGCCACCATCCTGGTTTGTACTGTCGACAAAACCGGCACCATGACACTGTTCTCAGGTCAAGGATCAAACTTGAAGCGAGTCTACACTTGCCTCGACCTCTCGTGGAGCACAGCAACGACCGCTTGATCTCAGCTGAAATTGCAAAGCTCTCAAATTGCGCACTTTGCAGAAGGTCCCACAAAAGCTCTGTATCATCGCCTTTTCAAGTTTTCTTCGTGGCTGGCTTGCAAATGATGCTCAGAGATGTTGCGTTGTTGTTTGCTTGAGTGGATTCGTGACGACAAGTTCTGTTGCTGCTAGACTAGTAGTTGGCTGGGCTGTGGGCCAGCATTGATGCACATGTTGCCCATTGTTGTTGTTGTTGTTGTTGTTGTTGTTGTTTTGTTGTTGTTTGTTGTTTTTGGAACAAGACATCAAAGGGGAGGGGTTCATAAGTTGCTTGGTTTCAGACCCTCTGTTTGGCACCCAGCTCGAACTGCGAAAGCTCCAAGGAAATCTACAGGAAGTTAGGCAAACCCTTCTTTTTGATTCTCCAAATGTTCAATACATGTTCCTGGGGCGTTCTCGGATGTAAGACTACACTGTTGGTAAAGGAGATATGCTAAGGTTGGTCCGAATTGCAAAAGGACCGCCATTTGGTAGCCATGGGGCAAACTTGCAGCAAGTAAAGGAACGCCCTACTCTTGTGGGGACCAGGGTCAAGCCTTGGGATTTTAGAGTTTTCAACCTCAGGGTAGGTGTACGTGTGGTGCTTGTTTTTGAGGAAGCCGATTGAATTTTGATGTTGCTCCTTTATTGTTGGTGCCTCTTCGTGGGGACACTGTTGGACTGGCTTTCCGATTGAAGCAGTTATGTTTCTAAGGAGGATCCTTGTAGATATGTAGCCGGGATTCCTGGGTTCAAGTCGCTGGAAAACCTGAGGAGCTTTCATTTCGGCTTGGGCAAGTTGCCCAGGGTCGCGCCGTGTGCTTTTTGTACCACCGTGCACATTGCCCTCAACGTGTAGGAGACAAAGAATTTGGCAAAGGCACCACCCAGGTCATGATTTGGTCCATCAACGTTAGGAAGCAGCCACGAACTTTGCAACTGCAGGTGGAAGGTCATTCAAAGACGATGTCCTTTGGGAAGGCATACTAATTGTTTAACGCCGGTTTGTCGGGCCGCTTTCTGTGGCCAAGCAACATCTGACGAACGTGCACAAGTCCTAGCTGGATGGGAATCCAGCACGTGGCTTCGCAGCAGGTCCCCAGCGGGGCCTTTAACCTTTCACCTCGCGAAACACGCCGTGGTTTTCTGCCTTCTTTCTCTTTGCTGGAGGAGGTGTCCCTTTGAAGTCGTGTACCAAAGATCAGGTATTTGTTTTGTCTCGATGACCGCCGGATTCAATTTGCCTCGCGTAATCCGGTGACTTGAGCACGCTGCGTGGCTGAAAGCAACGGAATCAGGTGGCATTTGATTCGATACACCATCTTGACGAAACACAATCCCAGTTTCCCAAAGCCCTTTGGACCTTTTGAACGTTTTTCCATGTTGGTCCAGTTTTAGGGCCAGGCGCCAAAGGTCAACCAATTTTCTTTCTGGCTCCTTTGGGCGCACGACCATTCTCTGGGGTGAAAATGGGGTTCATATAACCATTCCTCTAGGGATTATCATCCAACTTGGGTCAACCTTTCTTTTAATGACTCCAACCTAGGGATTGTCATCATCCAAACTGGGTCAACCTTTCTTTTACTGGGGGCAAGGAACCCGAATTGGTATTTGTTTGGTCAGCTTTTTGTTTCCAGGTCCTTTGGGCAGGTGACCTAGGTGTTTAAAGCACGTTTTTTCCAGGGGTCGCAACCTGCAGCCAGGAGCGACCTCCAGGAGATGCTGAGCAGCTCCTGGAACGCTCAGGTGCCTGCCTATCCGCACCTCACCCGAAGCGGGAGATGTTTTTCCCAGGGCTTGGAGGGTTTAGATTCTGTTCACCTGCGATGTTGAGGTGTGTCGGTTTGCGTTTTTGCTTTGTTGTGTTTGTTTTTTTTGGGGGGAGGGGGAGGTTGAGAGGGAAACTGTCGCTTTTGGTGTTGTTGTTTTTTGAGGGGGGGGGGGGTTGAAAGGGAAACTATCGTTTTGGGAGTTGTTGTTGTTGTTGTTGTTGTTGTTGTTGTTGTTGTTGTTGTTGTTGTTGTTGTTGTTGTTGTTGTTGTTGTTGTTGTTGTTGTTGTTGTTTTTTTGTTGTTGTTGTTTTGTTGTTGTTTTTTTGTTGTTGTTTTTTTGTTGTTGTTGTTGTTGTTGTTGTTGTTGTTGTTGTTGTTGTTGTTGTTGTTGTTGTTGTTGTTGTTGTTGTTGTTAGTGTTGTTGTTGTTGTTGTTGTTGTTGTTGTTGTTGTTGTTGTTGTTGTTGCGGGGGGGTTTGCCCGGGATTTCAGCAGCGCAACATACTGTAAAACGCAGCACGTCGGACATGTGACTTCCACTTCGTCCTATTTTTACCAGGACGTTTGGCTGTCGGCAGAGTCGAAATTACACTTGCGTTCGCTGTCTTGTCATCAGTGCATTGGCAGCCTTGTGACACACGATGCCTTGGCTCATACCACGGTAGATGGGTGCGCGACGTGCTGTAAAACGCAGCAAATATTACACATGTCACTGGGCATTTGCATTTCTTCGCAGATAATGATTGCGCTTTTGTTTCGCATCTTCATGTCAGCAGGATGTTATTAGTCGCACGTCGGGCATCGTTTTTACAAACATTGCGCGCGCGACTTGAAAATCACGGGCAAACCCCTCCTGGCCGTTCTTTTTGCAAAGGCCTTCAAGTGCACCCGCTACCAACTGGTAAGCACACCCGTTCAAGTGCACCCGCTCAGAACTGTTTCGAAGCCCACCAACTGATAAGCACACCCGTTCAAGTGCACCCGCTCAGCACTGAATCCATGCCAGGCACATGGTAAGAACACCCGTTCAAGTGCACCCGCTCAGAACTGCATCCGTGCAGGCAAATGGTAAGACCAACCCGTTCAAGTGCACCCGCTCAGCACTGTACCCATGCCATGCAAATGGCAAGAACACCCGCTCCAGTGCACCC